CAGAGGAAGGCAACATAATCCAGAGTTTCTATAATGTATCATCCATAATGTCCTATAAACAAACAAAAACTACTGGACATATAAATAAACAGGAAAATGTGACCTATAGTGAAATAAAAGAGCAGACAATAAAAACTGGCCCCAAGATGACACAGATGTTGGAATTAACAGACTAGGACTTTAAAGTAGCTATATAAATATGTTCAAGGACTTACAGGAAAAGATGGTCATAATGAATGAACATATGGGGAATATAGGGGAGAAATAGAAGCTATATAAGAAAAAAACATATGGGTGAAAAATAAATGGAAATTTATAATTTAAAGGTACAATATCTAAAGTAAAAAAAAAATCAGCTGATGGGCTTAACAGCAGTTTGAAGATAATAGTAAAAATAATCAGTGAACTAGAATACAGTTCAAGAAGAAATATCCAATCCGAAGAACAAAAAGATAAAAGATGAGAAAAAATTTACAGTACTTCAGGGACAAAAAACACAGGACAAACCCATGGGATAATATCAAGTAGTCTAACATTTATGAAATTGGAGTCCCAGGAACACAGACAGAGAAATTGGGGCAGAAAAGATATTTGAAGAAATAATGGCCTAAATTGTCCAAATTTGTTGAAAAATATCAACTTACAGATCTAAGAACCTCAGCAAATCCCAAGTGAGTAAATACAAAGAAAATTACACCTAATCTCATTATAATCAAACTGTGGAAAATCAAAGATAAAGAGAAAATCGTTAAAGCAGCTAGAGGGAGGAGAAAAGACCTATATAGAGAAAAGCAGTCATCAGAAAAAAGTGAAGAACAAAGACAAAGGAATGACAATTTTTAAAGTGCTGAAAGAAAAAAATTCAATCCAGAATCCTATATTAGTAGAAAATATCCTTCAAAATGAGGGTGAAATGAGAACATTTTCAGATAAACCAAATGGAGAAGTTGTTCTTAGCAAACCTGTACTACCAGAAACGCTAAGGGAAGTTCTTCATGCTAAAGGGAAATGACACCAGATGGTAACTCGGATCTATAAGAAGAAATAAAGAACAGAAATGGTAACATTTCTGGAAATGGTAAAATGACAACTGTTCAAAGTGAAATGATAAACTGTACTGTAGAGCTTATAACATGTAGTTTTAAAATATATGTTATCAATAACACAAAGGATAGGAGGGAACAAATGGACTTACACTGCCACAAGGTTCTCACACTGTATGTGAAGTAGCATAATATTAACTGTGTGTACCCAGTGATAAGTTATGGATGCATATTATAATCCCTGGAGCAACTGCTAAAAAATGTGTATAAAAATCTATAGCTGGCCAGGTGCGGTGACCCATATCTATAATCCTAGCACTCTGGGAGGCTGAGGTGGGAAGATTGCTTGAGGTCAAGAGTTTGAAACCAGGCTGAGCAAGACCCCATGTCTACTAATAATAGAAAAAATTAGCCGGACATGGTGGCACATGCCTGTAGTCCCAGCTACTCAGGAGGCTGAAGCAGGAGGATTGCTTCAGCCCATGAGTTTGAGGTTGCTGTGAGCTAGGCTGACGCCATAGTACTCTAGCCCAAGCAACAGAACAAGACTCTTGTCAAAATAAAATAAAATAAAATAAAATAAAATAAAATAAAATAAAAATCTATACCTAAAAAGCGAATGGAAGAATTAACATGGAACATAAAAGCAATCTGCTAAACACAGTGACATAATTCTGTATTATACTGGGTAAAGGCATCTGACCAGAAATGTTTCAGTGTATCGCCAATGATATTCAGTACCCTTTTCTTGTAAAGTGTCATTATTTAAAGAATATTTTACTATCATTCTGCTCCTTCTTAGTAATTACTGACATGCCACATAATGAGAAGAAATCTAGCCTAGATAATGATTTCAATGAGGCTTTCTGACCACAATCTTATGGTTCTTAAGCAGATTACATCTTCTCTACTCATATCATACTCTCTCCATCTCCTTGCCTCCCCTAAATCCTGGCTTTCCTCCATGGACTTCACTTTTCCTGCAGCTCTTTCAAGTACAGCATGCTCATTCTTTTAACCCCACAAACCAAGGTTCTAAGATAATGCTCCTGCTTCACTCCCTAGACTTCCTCTAGATCATTACTCTTCCAAATTATTATGCAACACTTTTTTTGGAAACTCATACCATGAAGCTACATCACCTCTCTCTTTCTTCATCCCTGTCACTAACAAAGGCCTGAGCACTGATAAAAAATTTGGGCATTTGGCTCTCTCTCCATAACTAGTTTCATCATTCTAAGTAATGCTAATGTTCACATCAACAATTCTTCTAATGTTTAGCCTCATAGTTCCCAGACCCTCTAAATGTCTGACGTTGCCACTTTTTCAAACCCCAGTTATAACTGGAAACTGCTCCATCTCTGAAATATCTAGTCCTCTCTTTCCCTCCGTGTCTGACAACTTCCTACTTGGTGTCACTTCTTTCCCTATCCATTGAGCTCATTACTAAGGTCCCCCACATCATGCCTCATCCCTTGTCTTTTTACCACATTTTCCCCTTGAACCCCTTACTATGGTGTGAATGTCCTCTCCAAAACTCATGTTCAACTTTAATTGCCATTTTAACAGTAATAAGATGTGGGACCTTTTGCTTCTCTCTCTCATGCACTCTCTTGCCTTTCCACCTTCTGCCATGGTATGACTCAGTAAGAAGGCCCTCACCACATGCCAGCACCTTGATCTTGGACTTTCTGGGCTCCATAACTGTGAGAACATAAATTTCTGTTCTTAAAATCACACAGTCTGTGGTATTCTGTTACAGCAGCACAAAACTGACTAAGACACCCCTAAAATATAGATCAAGCCAACCATGTGCCTCTGCTGTGTCAAGACCCAACTTGCTGAGGGATACTGGAGAAAACTGCACAACCATGCAAATTAAGGCTCAATAAACTCATGGTCTGCCTTCTCTCAGCTAGTTCCTACCTAGTCTTCCTACTTTCATCTATACACTATACCTGCATATGCTCCTGGTTTTACAGAGAGTTCTAGATAGCAAGGAGAAGCCAGGTTTCAATCAGGAGACATTTCTGTGTAAGCATTACTGGTAAACTGCCTAACAAGATCTCCAAAGAAAGGCATCTGAATACCCAGGCTCCAGTAACTTAGATATGACTTCCTTTCCACTATAAATAAGTATTTACTTTCATACTTGATCTTGAATTCATAATTTTGAATTTTTTTTTTTTTTTAGAGAAGGTTTACAAATTATGTAAGCTTCAGGCCCTACAAAACCTGGATCTACCCCAATATGATTGTTGCCAAAGTGTTCTAAAATGGAAACCTGATCATATTGCTTCTCTACTTAAAATATGTTTGTGCCTGGAGATCATGAAGGGTCTGTGCATCACACAAAGGAATCAGAAGTTCATCCTACAGGTTCTTCTTAGAAACCCCAGAACTAATGACTCCCACATCTGTTATCACTAGTTTTCAACTTTCTCTCTTAAGCTCCAGACCAAATTTTCAACAAGATAGATCATCTCTTTGAAAATCCTGAAGGCAATTGAAATTCAATATGCCCCAAATTGAAATAATTATCTCTTCTTGCTCCTCAACAGCTAAGACCCTTAAATTCTCAGTCTCAAAAATGTCATTACCTAGTCGGGCTTTTCAGCTACATGTGGGGTCAGTTCCAGACTCTCTTCTCCCACTTTCAACAGCCAATATGTTATCACATCCTATCTGTCTGCCCTCAAAAAGGTCTCTTGGCATCACCCTCTCCTCTTTGCATCCCTCTGCCAGGCTTTAGTTTATTGCCTCCCAAAGTAAGGTACATAGAACACTGGTACAAGCAAGATGACTGGAAGTAGTACAGAAATGCACCTTTTTAAAAATAGTCATGCATGTATTTTAATGTGTACTTACAAAAATATAACTATCACTAACTATAATTTCACAGATGGAGTTTCTTTTTAAAAATAAATGTATTTAAGTATAAAAGCAGAGTTGATTTAAAGAACAAAGTTAACAATGTGAGTGGTATGTGGATATGAAAAACTGTACAAACAACCGGGGAATGCCAGAAGTCTGGGAACACTGCCTTGCTTCATGCCTTCGTCATCTCTCAGAAGGACCACTCCAACGGCCTCCTACTGCTCTTCCTGCCAACAAGCTCTCCTGCTCTAGCCTATCCCCCAAGGTAACTGCCAGATTTATCTTCCTAGAAAACAAAGTCAATAATGTCATTTTCTGCTTTGAAATTTTTGTGGGCTCCTTACAACATACAAAATAAACTCAGATTTCTCCACTTGGAATGCCAGTGGAAGAATGCCAGGCCATTGTTCCCAAATATTACATTGTTTCACCATGACCTAAAAACACCAGGTCATGGTACAATGGTGTGCCTGAGAATAAGCTTTGCCCACTGCCAGAAATGGCCTTTTGCTCTCCTGCTCATTAGCAAATTCTTACTTATTAATGTCAACCCAACTCAAGAGTCACCTCTTTTAGGAAGCCTTCCTTAACTCCCGGGCAGGGGGAGGTGCTCCCTCTGCATCCCCATTTTCTGATACTACTTCAGTATTATAATTTTTTGTCTAAGTGTGTGGCTCCCCAAGTAGAATATGAAGTTATCTTCTTCATTTTTGTATTGGAAAGTGCATATTAAGTATAGGATAGGCCAGACATAATGGATCATGCCTGAAATCCCAGAGGTTTGGAAGGCCAAGGCAGAAAGACTGCTTGAAGCCAGGAGTTCGAGACCCTGACTCTACAAAAAAAATTTAAAAATTAGCTAGGTATAGTGGCACACACCAGCTACTCAGGACGCTGAAGCAGAAGGATTGTTTCAGCTCAGGAATTCGAGGTCACAGTGAGCTATGATCATGCCACTGCATTCCAACCTGGGTGACAGAGCAAAACTCTGCCTCAAATATAAACAAGTAAATAAAAATAAACAAAAATTTAAAAAGTATGACACAGAAGTGAATGAATGAACAAAATTCTACTTATAAATATGTCAATAAAAATATATATGAATGGATGGGCAAAATGGAATATGGAGGATTGAGTTCTTTGTTAGTACTAGTTAAGAGAAAAAAACAGAAAAAGATGAAAGAAAAGGAGAAATAGCAGAGGAAAAACAGAGGAAGGCTCAGTAAGAGAGTACCAAAGAGAACAAGATGTCAGGAGGGAGACAGGGAAGACTTCCACATTTGGTAGAGAGTGCACACATGCCATAACCTAGTCACTGGATTCTTTCAAGACATATTTACTGAGAACCCACACGGTGTGTGGTACTGTATCAGGTGCATGTAGCCCACTCTGACTGCTCCCCTGAAATTTCAGGGGCCCTCCTTGCTAAATCCACTAGACTCTGCTGGGGCCTCACCTTCTGGACCCTCTTAGCAGCAAACACTGCTGACCCCTCACTTTTTAATGCTTGCTTATCTTGCATTGTGGACACCACAGGTGCCTGGTTTTCTCCTCATTTCTCTGGACACTCTTTTTAATTTTCCTTTTGTGAGCTATTCTTGGGCTGTGTGTTTTCTACACATGAGTGTTCCTCAGCTTCTGTCTGTTTCTCAGCTTCCATCAGAAGCCTTCTTCTCTTACTCTAAAACTCTTAGAGAGCTAAGGACTTCCAAATCTCTAGCTCCATCCCAGAGCCTGGCACACACAAGTCCCACACATCAAAGCCTCCTGGGCATCTTCTGCTGGTTGGATGCATCATCCCTATATCTGTTCCTCAGTCATTTAGCCAGTACTAAGGACCTACAAAGTGCTTGGAGCAGAACAGGCACTTCTGGAGCTTGCAATTAATGAGGGAGACGGGACTGAATAATTACACAAATACAGGGTTACAAGCAGTGGTTGCAGTGATAGGAAAAAGGAAAAAAACCACCACTGCAAAAGAATATAATAATGGTTCCTAATTTAAATGAGAGGGTAGTATTTTTTGAGGAAGTGATATTCAAGCTGAACCCAAAGGATAAGTAGGAGTTAACCCAGCAAAGAGTAGGGGTGGATATTCTACACTAGGGAACTATTCTCTTCTATTCGATTCCATTCTATTCTATGGAACTACAGTATCCAAGGGAACTCTTCTAGGGAACCAGAATAAGTAGGGACATACATAAGCAAAGGGCTCAGCATGACAACAACAAGGTCACAGGTATGAAATGAGGCTGAAGACAAAGAGAAGGCCCAAATCACACAAGATCAAGGTAAGGACTTAGAATATTTTTTACCTTAAGTGCAATGGGTGTCTATTAAAAGGTTTTGGATGTGAAATGATTGATGCACATTTTTACCAGACCACTCTACCTAAATGGCAGGAAGATGGAAATCTAAGAGGAGAGACCAGTTATGAGGCAACTGTCAAAATTCAAGTGAGATGGCAGTGGCTCAAACCATTTCTCTAATTCTCTCTTTTTTTTTCCATCAGAAAATGCTATTCACAGCCATAGATTCTGAGGAGTCTTTTGTTCTGAGAACCTTGAAATAGAAGTCAATTCCTATTAAAGGAAAGGCATCATTACTATGAAAATTTTCACATATGAAACAAAGACTTCTGAACACAGCCAAGTCTATTTACTTTAAAAAGGAGTCAAACCAAATCCCAATATCACAATAGAACCTGCAAACCTCAGAGATTTTCCTAACCAGCAAACACAAATGCAGACAGAAAAGTGTAGTGGCTGTATTGAAGATATAGCAATAAAAAACAAGGCTAGAAAATACTGAAAATTCACTGTCAAGCTCCCCTAATGTTACCGCTTATTTCAGTGTCATATAAAATTGTTGGCCTCATATGGTTCATTTGTCAAAAAAGGCAAAGGGGCTGGTTTGGAACACAAAGTCACCAATGAACACCATTTCAACAACTGTGTGGTCAATTGATCCACTAACAAATCCAACATGCCATGTTCTCTCCCTTGCCTCTAGACTGTGACTTCTGCTCATCCTTCTACTTAGAATATTCTTTCCACTCTTCTGTTGGTTAACTTCTACTTATCTCAAACATAATTTCTTCCTGGACAACCTTTCCAGATGTCCCTAAAAAGGACAAAGAGTCTCAAGGTGGGGACTCCCATATCTTTCTGTGTCTGCTTCCACCTGACATTTGCTTCTCTGCAGGACCCTAGGTCAAGATACTAGAGGGCAGGAGAGCATGTCTAGTTTATCACTGTATTCTCAGTTCCAAGCACAATACCTGGAACACATAAAGTTCTCAATCAAGTTTCATAAGTGAATGAATGAGTAAATGTTACCTTTTATCTAAGGTAACTGAGGTCACCAATGTCATTCCTGCCTCCTCATTCTCTACTCACATGAACAAAAAAATGATTCAGGTCACTAATTAAAGATTATTCTCTGGAAATATTGCCAACCTCTAGGAAGAGGGTTGGGTTTTCTGATTGTTTACTTTAGTTTTTACAATTTTCTATAAATAGAGTCTCTAAAAAAATTGCCCAGGCTGGACTTGAACTCTGGGGCTCAAGAAATCTCCCTACCTTGGCCTTCCAAGTAGCTGGGACTACAGGTGTGCACCAACTTGCCAGGCTGAGGGCTGGGTTTTGAAGATGGAAAGGTGTTGCCAAATAATAGGCCAGTGGCATAGGCAGAAATGCTACTGGAAGAGATAAATAAAATGGGTCTCAAGTGGCACAAAGAATTCTTATCAAGAAGATTCCTCATCCAACTGTTTCTTTGCCCTAAGGGTCGGCTAGTTCTATGAAATATGAAATCCCTGTATCTTGAACAGAACTGCAATTTAGGATAACTGATAATATGTCCCAATTCTCGTATGACACAAATAATGAGAGTTAATAGCATGTGTTGGGCACTGCTATAAGAGCTTTATACATTCTCTTACTTAACCCTCCAACAATTCCATGAGATAGATACTACTGTTATCTCCAACAGATGAGCAAACAGGCTGGAAATAGTTAAGTAACTTGCCAAGGATAGACACCTTATAATCTGCAGAGCTGGGATTAAAGACAGAATGATAATCTTTTCTGCTTCCCAAATTACATAGATAATGACAACAATAGCTGACTTAATGGTGCACTGGGCTAAGCTCTTCTCATTTAACCCTTCCCATAGGAGAGGAAGAGAATCTTAAAGTGTTCTTTAAGCACCAGCTTTCACACTGGGAATCCAGGAAGCTAGCAAGAAGATACATTGTACTGGGGCACCAAGCTCATGCGCCAAGCCAGAGCCAGAGCTGGAGGAGAATCTTGAGTTGCTGATTTCAAAGTGCAGGCTCTACCCTGGGACAACTTTCCCTCCCACACAGCAGCCGGCCCCAGGGATGGGTCAGCGATGCACATCTGCACACCCCAAGGGATAGTTCAAAACCAAAGCATGCAAAGCATGACATAAATATGAAGTGTGGAAAACGCATTCCTTATGAACAGCTCCATATCAAATTCTCCGCATCTCTCTTTGGCAACGTTATCAGAAGCATCATTCAATCCAGCCGATTGGAGAGTGGCTATGAAAAAGCCTGGAAAATGTGACCAATCAGGAGAGTTATTTTTGTGAGAAAGAAGAAAAATGTCACCAAAAAGGGTCAGCAGATAACCCTATTGGGCTGAAAATAACTGCCTGGCTGGCAGACCAGTCAGGGGACAGGCGGAGGGCGAGAGACGTAATGCAAAGTGCCAAGGGAGCTCCGGCTGAGTGAGGCTGCTGGGGGATGAGGAAATTGGCCTAATTTGGGAACATGAGCCCAGCAGCATTTCTCAGATTCCTGCAAGAGAATCTGGCTAACTTTCAGTTCTGTGTCCTCAGAGGAACACTGAGGGGATGAAGGGAGAGAAAGGGAACAGCTGTGACTCCAACACTTCTCCAGACAACTGGACGAATAAGGGTGATCAAATGAGAAGTTACTCCTGCTCCAAAAGGATCCCAAACATTTCTGCACTCTCCTCAACACACTCTTCTCTACTGGGAGGTCTATGCATTTACCTGTCTAGCAGGCAGGAGAGATTAGGTAGTGGTTAAACACCTGGCTACAGTCAGAAAGACTTGACTAGAGTCAGAAATTAGCTGAATGCCTCTGAATAAGTTACCCAATCTCTCAAAGTCTTGAAGTCCTCACCGACACAATGAGAAAATAAGAGTATCTACTTCAAGAGCTACCATGAGGCTCAACTAGGATACTGCATGAATTAACAGATAGCTAGCAACTGTTCCAATGTAAGTGATGACGATTATCACTAAAAAGATAATCTACACAATAAAAGCTAAGCCAAAAAGGGGTCTAGACCCAAGTGAGCATTGCTTATCCAAAATTAAGCTAGCCCTGGAGAGGCTATGCCAAAGATTACTTTTGCCCATACTCAGTGTAATGTATTAAATAGCTTTACAGTAGAAAGTGTCCGGGTTGCTCTTGAAGAACAACAACCATTTGAATCAAGCGAAGGTAAAGGTTCAGGCAGAGAGATCTGGTTTAACTCTTAGATCTGCTCTCTTTGGAGAAAGTTATACATTGCAGACATGTAGATACTCATAATAGAACTATCTTCCAGCAAAATCCTCAACACCTGTAATGCCAACCTGAATTGCTAATGAACTATGCTTCTGTGATCCAAGCCTGATTTGCGACAGGTACATGCACTCCCCTCCCCACAAAAGTACAGTCATAAGCTTTCTTAGTACTTACCATTTCTTGAGGGGTTTCTGTGTGCCAGACACTGTGCTAGGTACTTTACATGCATTGCCTAATTTGATTTAAGACAACCCTAAAAAAGTAGGCACAACTTGAGTCAATTCTGAGCTAGTAAAATGACACAGAGTTCACCTTTCTGGTAAATCATTAAAATTAGACAGGTAAGGTCTCTGAAATTTATTACTTGAAATCTACAGAATGGCCAAGCAAATAAAGAGACCCTTCTTTTTCTCTCAGAGCAAGAGAAAGAGTTTAATTACCTGGAGTGAGCCACAGGTATCCTACAGGCAGAAAGTCCTAAGTGGAGATCATTGTAAGAAGGAAGAGATTTATAAGACAGTTCTCACAAGCAACTCAATCAGGTATCCTTGAACTCAGGGCCTACGATGTTTCCACTGAACTCCAAATTAAAAAACTGGAGAGGAATGTAGATTTTTTTTTTTAAGTTTCTAAAAATAATTCTTTCCTTTCATATCCAGGGCTATGAAGAAAAAAAAACCTTTGTGTAAATTCTATTTTTTAAAATTGACATGTCAGTTTTGAACTGCCTTCTCAGTGGCCATTCTGCTCCCTTGCCTTACCAAGAAACCCAGATGTTATGGTGTGGCAATGTGCCTGGTCAAAAACTCCCTTGAAACATAGAGTAGTTGTAAGGCCTAGTTCTGACCAATGAAATGCAGCTAGAATATTACTTTGAGGTCTCTGGCTACTGTTTTCTTGATAAGAAGGGGCACACTTAATTGGCATGCACCTTGAACTCTTCAACTATTCCCTCTCCTCCTGCCTAAAATGCAGATGTTATCCCTGGAGGGAATGACCAGCCATCTTGCAACCATGAAAACAAAAGTCACAAGCTCCAGATGGCAGAACAGGAAGCCAGAGGGGCTAGAGCAATGCAGGACATCCTCCAGTGACTGTACCCACTCTGCTCTGCTTTCCATTGGATCCCTGGCTATGTGAGAAAAAAAATCACTGCTGTTTGATTCAAGTGCTGGAGTCATTTCTGTCTGGACTTCTGATTTTAAAGAGAAACTCCAAATCTGGATTTTCATGTGAAGCTTCCCAATTTATAAATGTTAACCAAATTAAAAATATTTAACTCTTTACAGATCAAATAAAACATGACTGTAGGTTAAATTTAGCTAAAGATTACCAGCTTCCAACCTTAGTAGAGAAGGTTAAGGCAGAATAAAAAGGACACCCAAGTCCTAGAGAAATAATAATGGTTAGCAACATACTGAGCACTTATGTGTCAGATGGTGTTAAGGACTTTACCCCTATGGTATCATTTTTTCTTTCTAGCTACCCCCATTATGGATGGATTATTATCCTTGTTTCATCAATGAGGAAAATGAGGCTTAGAGAGATTAAGTAACTTGCTCAGATTCAAAGAGCTTATATGTGACATAGCCAGGATTTCAGCCCAGGCCTGTATGCCCCAAAGTCTTCACTCTTTTTTTTTTTTTTTTGAGACAGAGTCTCACTTTATTGCCCAGGCTAGAGTGAGTGCCGTGGCGTCAGTCTAGCTCACAGCAACCTCAAACTCCTGGCTCAAGCAATCCTCCTGCCTCAGCCTCCCAAGTAGCTGGGACTACAGGCATTCGCCACCATGCCCGGCTAATTTTTTGTATATATATATTAGTTGGCCAATTAATTTCTTTCTATTTATAGTAGAGACGGGGTCTTACTCTTGCTCAGGCTGGTTTCGAACTCCTGACCTCGAGCAATCCGCCCGCCTGGCCTCCCAGAGAGCTAGGATTACAGGCGTGAGCCACCGCGCCTGGCCTTAAAGTCTTCACTCTTATACACCTTTCATAAGAAATGTCCACTGCAACTGGAAAGCACAAAAACTCTGCTCCAGAAAACTACCAGCTAACCTATTATAAATGAATAGCAGCCCTTGAAGAGACTTCCAAATCAGTTCTAAGAAAGTCCTTGGCTGACATCCTCTTTCTTTGCTGCCCTTTAATAAAAGCAGCAAGGCACTGTCCAAACACTCTTTTACTCATTTACTGAATGAACACTTGTACAGTGCTTTTCAGTTCATTAAAGTGCTTTTAAATGCATATCTCAGTTAACCCCCATATCATTCTGGTGGTATTATCCTCACCATTTGACAGATAATGAAATGGAGGATTAGAGAGATTAGTGAACTTGCTCAAGATCCAAGCAATTAGCAGAGCCCAGACTCAGGCCCTGGTCGTCTGACACCAAGCCCTGTGTTCTTTCTGCTTCCTTCACCAGAGTTCCAACTCCACCACCTCACTTTAAAATAACCATCTGCTTGAACTAATTCCTACTTAACTCTAAAGTAACTCCAGTATGTCTGACAGCTCCCAGGTACTGTATTTACGTTAGCATGGATATCTTCATCCTAGAATGTAGTCAGCAAGAGGACAAAAATAAATGTATCAAGTAATACACTCAGAATTGGAATGCAAATGGGCACACACACAAGTCTTGGTATCTAATTTTAGAAAGAAACATCCAAAAAGTCCCACACAGCACAGTGAGCATCTGGCCCCGTGGGAGGCTGCCCACACTGCGTCAAACCTCAATTAGCCCAGAAAGAAAAAGAATTCTGGTATCCTAACCGGCGTCTTGCTTTCAGAGGCACCACCAGTTGGGTGAGAAGCAGAATGACTTTTCATCACGTTCTCCTAGAAAAATGGTAAGGCCCAGAGTAAAAAAATAAAAAAATGCAAATGCCGTGAAGTAAGTAGGTATTCCTGAAAAGCTGAAACCCTAAAAGTTCATCACACTGAGTGACTATGGAGTTATGTACTCACAGCAATGATTCTCGCCTGGGAGCCAAGGGGAAGGGGATGGTAGGTGAACAGTGCCCACTGACCCCAGCCTAGAAGCTGATTTAGTATGGGGGTCACATAAGGTTTCAAATCCTGATCAAGTCATCACTCATCTAATCAATATAGGTGGCTATAACCTCCTTCACAATTAAGTAGACTTTTTTTTTTCTCTATGAAAATGGAGAATATTCCTACCTATTTGATATGTAAGTGAAGTGTGTCTGTGTCATGTACCCGGCACATTTTGCTCATGCACCTGCCTGGCCCATTAGGCTTCTCAGCGTAGGTCACCTCATCTGCTGTAAAATGACTACGGGCCAGCAAGCTAGAAGCCAGTTTTCCTACTGTCTGGGAGCTCACTGTATGGGGGGCAGAGGGACGTGTAAAAAGACAATAAGCATATAATGTGATATGTTCTATAGTAGGCATTACCGGAAGTAGATATTATGGGATAGGTACTAAGTCAGCCTGGAAAAGTTAGAAAAGAGCTAACAGAGGGATGACTCTGAAATTGACTCTTGAAAAGTTTTTTCAAATGGACAGAGGAAGGTAAAAAGGTGCTCGGAGTAAACTGCCAAAAGTAGTTCCCTGGCATTGAAAAGCATTGCTCATCAAAATTACCCACCCTCTACAAAGAAGATGGATAATTTCCCATAACTCCAGGCCACCCGGAAAAGTTTCCAGTAAAGTAAGGCCAATAAATGGTCCTCTTCCTGCCTGAAAACTGTAGAAAGTGCAGGTCGCCACTAAGAGCAAATGTCCAGTTGTATAATCCATCCAGCCTTATATCACCAGCATGCCTCACTGGCATTTATTCGGCAGAAATAAAAACCTATATTTCTACTGGGTTTTGAAACTTCCCAGTCCCTGGCTTCAGCTAACATAAAAAGTTCTATACTAAGATATAAAGAAATGCAAAGAAACTAGTCTAGCATCAAAGAAAAAACTTCCTCCTTCATTTGCTGCTACTAGGACAAATGCCAAGGAAGGGAATTCCCATGTCAAGACAGAAGAAAGGGCTGGCATTCAAGAGAAGAAATATAGAATACCTAATCCTTGCTCTCTTTGGAATCACTTTTAAAAAGCATGTCTTCAGATTTATTTTTTTAGCACCCACCTCTCCAGCCAGAGTCAAAGAGGAATTCTTGCCACTGAGCTGATTCTCGGCCTGAGCTGGCTCCTGTTGAGCTCGGCGACCCATCTTGGGCCCCTGTAAGGAGACAGAGAGGGCACTGCTGACCCATCCTTTAAGCCATTATAAGGATGACAATTCTGGGAAGGTAAGTAAAGACTGGATTTATGATGATATGGTGGAGAAAAGGATTTGAGTAACTTGGATATGTTCTTAGAAAACTCTCCAAACTCAAAAAATCCTTTTCTATTTGATGGGAGAAGAGTAAATGCATGGATTAATTATCACAAGGTTTTCTTTTAACAGCCATAGAGACTGCAAAAGCAAAATCACTTTTCTACCCAAAGAAATGTGATTAGAAATTCCTCTAGGCCAGGTGTGGTGGCTCATGCCTGTGATCCAACCACTCTGGGAGGCTTAGGGGGGAAGATCACTCGAGGTCAGGAGTTCAAGACCAGCCTGAAATATAAAGAAACTAGCTGGACAACTAAAAATATGTAGAAAAAATTAGCCAGGCATGGTGGTGCATGCCTGTAGTCCCAGCTACTTGGGAGGCTGAAGCAGAAGGATTGCTTGAGCCCAAGAATTTGAGGTTGCTGTGAGCTAGGCTAATGCCACGGCACTTTAGTGAGACTCTGTATTAAAAAAAAAAAAAAAAAAAAGGAAAAGAAAAGAAAAGAAAAGAAAGGAAATTCCTCTAGAATGGGCAGAGACCTCATGCCACGGATCAGAGAAAAGGGTAAAGGCCCCCATGTTCCTATATGGGACTTTAGGAAGGCCTAATTTGAAGTCTGTAGCTTAGCATGAAAATAGTTATTAAACAGGCTTTTGGAAAGAATTCCTAAATTCCATAACAACTGACACCAGAGAAAAACAGATAGCATTTGCTTTGATATATACACTAATCAGATTTGCCTTTACAGACATTAGGGAAATCTATGACAAGAATTTTGAGATGTTATCTTCGGAAATCAGAGCACTTCAAAATTCTTAGTCATCAAATGAACCATATGCAGGTGTTTCCCAAGGCCCTCCTAGGGTGGAGGCTCTGTATCTCAAACGCTTTCCGGCACATAAACAAAACTTATTTAGGCAGACCAGTGGGTGTTGAAATATTTATAGTTTTGCTTTACTTTGTTTCAAAACCAGCATTAATATGAGCACTTTTTAGATCTCACTTAATGTGGTTTCATTTGATTCTCATAACGGGGACAGGGACTGATGCCATTTTACAACTAAGGCCCAGAAAGGTGATTAAGTGGCAGACATAAATCTAAGAGTAAATC